ATAACAAACTCGTCAGGGTAGGTACAGTAGGATTTGCTGTGACCGTACCTTTCATACAGATAGTCAAAAGGGATGTAGGATTCTTTCAGACATGTCAATTCTAGATTCTTCTTTAAACCCATCATTTTGAGGAAACCCCTGCCTTTACGGTTCTCAGGCATCAGCAGACCCGGAGTTTCCCAGACTAGACCGGCCAATCCTCCTATCTCCTCTAGCAGGGGTGTCATTTTAATATCCCCAAAGCGGAATACAGCCCTTTCACAATCCCAAAATAGTGTGGCAGCTTCTATGATCTTGTTGTTGGGTTGGATTTCCAGGAGAGAAGGTAGGTTTCCAAGATACTTTCTAACGAGAGTCTGATTACCAGAGTGAAGATCTTTCCACCAGCTTAGCAGTCTTAGGTGGATGTTGGTGACCATGCCGAATCTAGAGACTTCGTGCCTCATATTTCGCAAGACAAATAAGGTTAGACCCTACCCCCACCAAGACTCGACTATTTAATATCAACAATTAGCATGAAGCATTTAGTTCTCCAAATAAATGCACAGAACGTGGTGATGTCCATTTGGGTTTAGGAAACCTAATGGACTTTGGACAAGCCTATCTTAAAGGATCATTATGTGGACAACATAACTGACCCAACTAGGTTTGACCATGATGCATGCACAGTTTGAACAGAGTAAGGTTTCTATGGGGTTTTAGACTGGTACCCTTGAGCGGACAACTCAAGGGGGAAGGCTCGGAACTGTCGACCGCACCGTTGATCGACTAGTTTTACCGCAAATATGCCTTTCCGAATTTAGAGGGGAAATGATATAGGAATAGGGCAACCACTCATTATAAGCGTTGCTATAGTATTTGTTTTGGCATGAGTGGAGTATGATGTTGAGCATGATTATGCAATAATTAAAAGCATGTTGGCATGTATTTGCATATTGAGAAAGCGATAAATACAACAATTTCATAATTTAAAGCAATTAAGAAAAGAAAACAAGGAAGATATGTCAGTTTTGCTTTTAAAGAAGAAATTAAATGCTTAAAGGATTTAAACAGATAATTGCACATAGGGAGAGGTATAAATTCACAAGAATAATCTGAAATGGTAAATGCCTGAAAAATCCTCAGCAGAGTCGCCATGCTGTCGCGCCCCCTTTTTCCCTCTTTGCATCGGAAAATCGGGTTTATGACATTTTGGGCATAGGACAACTCATTCCTTTTGGGAACTGGGTTTTGCATTTGAAGAGTCGCCACCTAATGATTTAAGGTGCATTAGGACACCTATAAGGTTCACTTTTAAGTTTGTTTGATAACCAGAGATAGGGTAAGGGCTTGAAATTATCCTAAGGGGAAGGTGTTAGGCACCCCCTCAGGATCCACTACTGTGGTTCCCGGCCAGACAGTTTTTTGTGAATTTGTGCAATTTGGCAAATAGACAAGTATAGGCTCAAATAGTAGGGAATTTAAGTTTAAACACATAAAAGTTCGAAAGAGCAATTATTAAAAGGCGGATTTTGAAAAGAAGTGGCAAATGAAAAGAAAAGGGGTCCTAGGTTTATTTATAATATGGATCATATCAATGAAATACCCGGTAATCACTCCTCAAAAGAGGGGCTACACGTGGTATTAGCGCACCGATAATCATATCCATATCTACCCTTCCCACCCTGTCGAGGTATTAAAGCGCGGATTGGTCTCGACCACTATTGCATGCTATTACCCATCCCATTCCTATCAGTCCCGGAGGAACTTAGGACTACTATTCCTAAAGGAGAGGGATATTAGGCTGACTTTTAGGTTTCAAAAGGTGAAAAAGCTAAGGCGACATACAAAAACACATAGGACTGCACATAAAGGGAAAACATGTAAACAACTAAAAGGCTCATGTATACCTCCTCAAGCAAAGCACATAATTAGCATGACTTAAATACAGTCAGGGTCTGAATCTAAAGTACTAAGGCAAGGGGAGTTTTAATTGTTGAGGCAGACCAGTTTATTACATAACTCAGATAAGAAGTCTGAATCAGGCCTGCCTGCTGGTTGTAGCAGTTACTAATTAACAAAGGCGGGTTTAGTTTTATTTGTTGTCACCTAAGGCTTGCCTAAGTGTTTGGGTGAGATCCCATAAACATGATATCTATTACTGATTCAGAATGTGGCAAAGCAGTAACAATTCTAAAATAAACGATTTGAGATCCTATAGACATGCTTTCTAAACCGTATTAATAAGAAGAGAGAGAGTTGTTTTAAAAATTAGTTCAGAATAGTATGAGTTGAACTAATTTTAGACTAGACTGGTTTCAGATTCTATAGACATTGATATCTATTATTGTTAATTTTAATTCCTATAGACATGATATCTAGTTGAACGTGAAACGAAGCAGGCAGGATTTGCTTGAAATTCCTATAGGCATGATTTATATGAAAAGGTACTGATTTTAGTCTATTGGACATGATGCCGGATTATAACCAATTGGATCCTAAGAACATGGTGTCTAAGTGTGGTAATAAACATGCAGAATTTAAGACAAATCCAACAGGCATGTTATTTAAATGCAGAATTCAAAACAGGTCCTATCGACAGGTTCTCTAAATTCAGAGTTAAACATGCAGACTAAAAAAGGTCCTATAGGCATATTATCTAAATGTAGAGTTAAATATGCAGACTAAAAAAAGGTCCTATAGTCATATTATCTAAATGCTGAATTAATCATACAGAAAACAGGCCCTATAGGCATGCTCTCTACCCTTCTAATAGTTAAGCATGCATAATTACCCAGCCCTTTCCACTAACCAACCCCAATGTTTATTACAACTTATTACAGAACAAATAATGAATTACATCATAAAAGTGTAAAAGAAGGGGTTACAACCAGAGGAAGCCTGATTCTTGACTTCCTCTCTCAGTTATGGAATAAACCACCTCAAATGCCATTTGTTTCAAAGCCTTTCTCAGACTTGAGTGTGTCAAAGTTCCCTAACCCCGGACAGTGCTTACACCCAAGTTTGCATAACCAGATGGAGATGAGTGAAAAGTGGAGGGGCCAGCCCTTATGTGTCCAAGTTCAGAGGGAGCTCATGGGTCCCAAGGAAAGGCTCACACAAGAGGGGCAGAACCTAAGTCTAAGAGTATAATTGAAGTGCAGAAACAGAGATTTAAAACTGAGTAGAGAATAGAGGGGGATAAGGTTGATTGGAAAATAGTAGTAGTAAAGCTAACACTACACAAAATCAGCATTTTTATACAAAGGGGTCAGGGGTTTGGGAATTCATTGCAGGGAGCATATGACCTTAGGAAGGGGTCAGGTTTGGGCATGCACATCAATAGATGATGTTGGTATGCCCATAAACCAGCCAGAGAACACAACACATAGAGAGGATATAAAGCATATGACCCTAGGGAGGGTCAGGTTTGGGTCATGCACAGCAATGTCTAATGTTGACATGCCCTCAAGCCAACTAGAGAATACAAACACATATGGGATATGGGGGTTTGGGATTCATAAGGCATAATCACATAATCAAATGACTGACAGAGTATTTATACATAAAGGAACACATTGATTTACAGCATGCTTTAGGAATGAAACTTGATTAAACGCGAGCATAAAACAGGCAAGAGTGAAGGCAATAGTAAAGAAAATATGTTGTTTTTTATGCTTGAAGATTAATTAGAACATACCAGTAAAGAAGAAAATGCAGAAATAAAAGTAAGCAAATTTCCACAGCCTAGACTTGGCTTTTAGCCGGCTAGACAAGGCAGCAACACAAGTAGTAATAGAGAAAAGAGAGAGAGTTTTGAGTGAAGAGTGTGCTCTGAACTCAAGTGGTTCGTTCGTGTTTGAAAGAAGAGGAGTGCAAGGTATTTATAGTCTTTTGAAAACGAGTGAAGGAGAGGTAATAAGTAAAGTTTTAATACAAATATGGAAACAATCAACAGTCAGAATCAATTATACAAGTGATTCCCTTTAATTAAGGAATCACTGTTTAACGGGTACTAACAGAATCAAACAAGGAAAGAGATCGGTTTAGAGACAGACTGATTATTGCCATAAAAGGAGTAGTACAAGAATTAAGTAAGTAATCAAGTCTAAGTACAGAAATAGGCTTATTTTGGAAAAGATTCAGTAAGGCAAAATATCACAGTAAAGGGAAAAGAATCAATCAATTCCACACAGGCAAGTGAAATTAGGGTTCATAAAGGAAAAGCTTTGAAATCAGTTACACGATTAGGGTCAATCAAAGAAGAAACGTGCTTCTGCACTTTAGTGTATAAACAGAGTGAACAAAAGACATCAGCCATGCGAGGCCAAGCACATTGGCAAAAGTGATAATCACAAGCATGCAGTAGTGGCAGAAATAAGCCAGGGTTCAGTAGTAAAGCAAACATTCGAAGCATAGTAATCAAGTAGGTCAAGTCACATTGAATTAACAGTGCAGAAAATAGAGTATCAGAAACATGCAAAGGTCTCACAGTAGCAGGTGAGGAAACCTTTTGAAAAGTTAGGGTTTCAGCCATAGTCGAGTTGAAAGATAGTAAAATCAGATAAGTCACATAAAAAAAAAGAAAGTCTAAAACAAAAGCTTTCAGTCGAGTCAAGTACTCGAACAAACGATTTCAGACCCAAAGACCTAGGGCTTTTCAACAACACTCGAGTTTCTTTTAAAAATGGTAACACAAATAAGTCAAACAAGAATAAGGAACTTAGTTAAACAAGTATACATTTAAACAAACAGCTTCAGGATTCGAATGAGACCCAAAAGAAATTAGGGTTTTCAACATGCTTACTCAAGTAGAAGGAAAGCGTAACAAACAGTTCAAAGTAAAGTCATAAAACAACATCGAGAATCAGAGAAGAGATTTTTGAAATAATTTAAAGGAAAATCCTAATCAGAACAATGAAGAGTCGCTTTGAAAGCAACGTTGAAGAACTTTCGAGAAAAAAATGCTTAAAAGTTCATGGTAAGCACAGATCTAAGGTAGATCTGAAAGAAATCGAAAGAAAATCCTTGCATAGCCACCTTCATCATAGTCAACCAGTCAATATAACAGTTCAGACTATTATTATTATTATTATTATTATTATTATTATTATTATTATTATTATTATTATTATTATTATTGTATTGTTATATCATATTTCTTAGGGTGCCATGCTTTGTGCACTAGTACTACGGCTAATGCAGTAGTAGTACTATTGCTACTGTTACTGTTTCTGCTGCTGCTACTATTTATATTTATATTTATATTCTTTACTTACGATTTTATTTTATTTTAATATTGATGATGATATGAGTTGAACTAGACGAATAGAATGAGGATTCATATCGTCAATCCCAACCTGTGTGGGACTTAGGTGAGTAGTTGTTGTGTTCAGCCCATAAAAAAGAATTAAGCTCACACTTGAAAAGGGTCGAGACATAATATAATTAAATAAAAATATACTTTTTCTAACAATTTAAACTTTTAGACGGTGCGAAAGTAAAAAACAAACCTTGAAAGGCTGATTGTCTGTTCTAAATTCCATACCAGGAATATATTTTAGCCAAACAGGGAATCCCCTGCAACCAAATAAAAAAAACAAAAACAGAGTATAAAACAGGGGAAGCTGCAAAAAATTAAAGCCAAAATCCTTTATATATAACTTTTTTATTTTTTGTAAATTACCCAAAGTTCCATTCTGCACAAATGTAAGTGCCAATACGTAGATTGACATAAAGTCCTGCTTTTTCTACCAACTTGATGAACTTAACAAGATCATATCTCCCCTCAAAATTATACTGAAAATTCGAAATATGAAACAAAAATGATCAGATTAATATTTTGTCTTTAGATTCAAGTTTTGGCAATCAGGCGCCCACCTGGAGAAAAGGGAATACAGTTCGTGTTTTGGCAATCAGGCTCCCACCTGGAGAACAAGGGAATACAATTATAGTTTTAACAATCAGGCGCCCACCTGGNTCCAAACAGGCGAGTGAAATTAGGGTTCATAAAGGAAAAGCTTTGAAATCAGTCACACGATTAGGGTCAGTCAAACATGCTTTTGCACTTTAGTATATAAACAGAGTGAATAGAAGACATCAGACATGCGAGGTCAAGCACATTGGCAAAAGAGATAATCACAAGCATGCAATAGTGGCAGAAATAAGCCATGGTTCAGCAGTAAAGCAAACATTCGAAGCATAGTAATCAAGTAGGTCAAGTCACATTGAATCAACACTACAGAAAACAGAGTACCAGAAACATGCAAAGGTACTCACAGTAGCAGGTGAGGAAACCTTTTGAAAGTTAGGGTTTCAGCCATAGTCGAGTTGAAAGATAGTAAAATCAGATAAGTCACATAACGAAAAGAAAAGTCTAAAACAAAAGACTTTCAGTCGAGTCAAGTACTCGAACAAACGATTTCAGACCCAAAGACCTAGGGCTTTTCAACAACACTCGAGTTTCTTTTAAAAATGGTAACACAAATAAGTCAAACAAGAATAAGGAACTTAGTTAAACAAGTATACATTTAAACAAACAGCTTCAGGATTCGAATGAGACCCAAAAGAAATTAGGGTTTTCAACATGCTTACTCAAGTAGAAGGAAAGCGTAACAAACAGTTCAAAGTAAAGTCATAAAACAACATCGAGAATCAGAGAAGAGATTTTTGAAATAATTTAAAGGAAAATCCTAATCAGAACAATGAAGAGTCGCTTTGAAAGCAACGTTGAAGAACTTTCGAGAAAAAAATGCTTAAAAGTTCATGGTAAGCACAGATCTAAGGTAGATCTGAAAGAAATCGAAAGATCTTAGAGATTAGGGTTTCAGAAAACCCAAAAGAAACGAGAAAGATCTCGAAAGTTAACGATCTAACCAGAAAAGGTCAAGGACCCGCCTCGAATGGCCATAAATGGACAAAAAAGGTTGTGGCTGGCCGGAGCAAGGCCATGAACACCAGTCGAGCAAGGACTGGACCAAACTCCTTCTAAGTCTGGTCATGAAACGACAGAACCAAACACATAGAAGCCATGGAAAGCTGGTACATGTCTCAAATGACCACAGAAGGCCATGGATTAGGGTGTAGTTTGATGGCGGCGGCTAGGGTTTGTAAGAGTTTCAGAGAGAGTTGAGAGGGAAGAGGGTTTCACAGGCGGCGGTTGGTGAGGAATGAGGTAGGGTAAAGGGGTCGTTTGGGTTAAAAAAGGAAAGGGGTAATAGGAGCCGTTGATATAAACGATCAACGGTTGGGATTAAAGGGGTTAGGTGGGGAGTCCGGGTTTGGGTCGGTTCAATTTGAAATTGGGTCGGGGTAATTGGGTTAAAAATGGAATTGGGCTGGGGAGATTGGGGCTTGATTTGGGTTATAATTGATACCCGATTTGGGCTACAATTTAAATAGCCACTTTTCCCCTTTTTATTTACAAAAATAGTAAATAAGTTTCTGAAAACAAAATGAGAGCACTAAAATGATTTAAAATGTATAATTAACTATTTAAAAAAGCTGGACTTAATTTTTGTAAATGTAAACGTAATTAAATTCAAAAAGAGGCTAATATTGCAATTATGCAATTTAGCTTTTAAAAATACTAAATAAATTTATAAAAAATATAAAAAAATTCCTTTAGCTATATTTTAGCATAAATATAAAAATTCAACAAGTGAATCACCAAAAAATAATATTTTTAAAAAAATAAATTGGGGTTTTATGGATAAAATAGAGGAATAAATTGATTCAAACGCCTTTAAAAATTAAGGAAAAGTAATGAAACACTTGGACATACTTATATTTGCATACATATGCTATTTTGAAGGTATTTTGCATATTAAAATATATATAGGGAAAAATTGAATATCAACAGTATCTGGTGTAACCGCACCTGCGAGGTTTTGGCCGCAAGTGCGGCTTTGTGGTCGCAGAAGCGCTTTGGGTAGAGCTGGGAGGAATCGCAGATGCGAGGGTATTTGTGCATCTGAGAGCCCGCAGGTGCGTGGTAAGCTCCGCAGATGTGGAACTCCTGAGGGGCAGCTGGGTCGCAGGAGAGGAAGGGCACACGCAGGTGCGAAGGCGCAGGTGCGCTCGAGGGACCGTAGAAGTGGATTTCGCGCAGCTTGAAGAGGACCGCACCTGCGATGCATTTCCGCAGGTGCGGAGCCACATGTGCGGCTGGTGCACCGCAGGTGCGAAAATGCTGGAGGCAGTGAGGTTCTTTTAAATCGGGTGTTGAGTTCATTTCAACCCCATTTCTTCCATTGGAGCCAATTTTGGGGCAACTTTGAGGTTCCATTTTCACCACCAAGTATGAGGTAAGTGGTTTGTGTTAGTTTTGAGTTAAATGCATGATTGTATATGGATTTGAGCATTAAAATTTGTGGAAAACTTGGGGTTTGAGGGAAAACCTAGAAAATTAGTATTCATGGATTTTGACCACGATTTTGGACAAGGAATTAAGAGTAAATTATATATTTGAGTTCGTGAGGTTATGGGTAAAGTTTATCTTCGAAAAATTTCGGAATCCGGGCACGTGGGCCCGAGGAAGATTTTGTCAACTTCTCGATCAGGGTTAGGAATTGTTATAAATTGGATTATAATGAGTAGTTGATCTCATATTAATGTGTTTACATAATTATTGGCTAGTGTTGGAGTATTTTGCATCGATTTGAATCTTCTGAAGGGCGTGAATTGCCGGTTATGGAACTTCGGAGCGAGGTGAGGCTCCTTTCTAACCTTGTAAGAGGGAATTATCCCCATAGGTGAGTTAATTGGTTATGTGCTCCTATTTGTGGGGGCTACGTACGCACGAGGTGACGAGAATCCGTGCGTAGCTACTATTATGCTTAAGTCCGGGTAGTCTAGGATCCAAAAGCATGTTTTACTTGTAATATTTGAAATCTGGTTGTCGAATTGAAATGCTTAAAACATATTGAAACTTATAAAAGAATTTATAAAAAAACTAGACATTCGTTTCTTGACTTTTAAAAAGAGTTTTCCTTTTATTGGATGATTGATTCCTTGATGGTTTCTTGATTGACTGTTTGGAGTGTTTATTTAAATTTGACCGCGTCGCATGTATGATTCGCGAGCGGGGTAATAGATGCATCTATGGTTCGTGCCATTCGACCCTCTAGCAGTGCACAGTTTAAATATTGTTGGATCGGGCTGTACGTCCTTGGCATGATTTGCGAATGCTTGTATGGATTGCCTTGTAATTTACTGAAATTGATATTGCTTCTTCCCGTCTTGAGAATATATGTATAAATGATGAGAAAGGAAATTGGAAATTTTCATATAAAAGAAAGAATTGTTTACTTGCTTCACTCTATTGAATTACATTCATGTTTATATAAACCCTCGACTTGTTATATTATTGATGTATCAACATTGGAGCACTAGTAAGTGTCGAAGTCGACCTCTCGTCTCTACTTCTTTGAGATTAGGCGGGATACTTACTGAGTACACGTTGTTTTCGTACTCATGCTACACTTGATGTGCATTTTTGTTGCACATGCACCTGCATCTCCAGCGGCTTAGTGGGCGTAGCAGCATGGTTGATACGGAGACTTAGGTGAGTTGTACTTCTCGAGACGACCCGCAGCCAGCAGAGTCTCTTTCAGATTTCCATATTTTATTATCTATCCTATTTGTATTTCCGGATAGTTGTTGTATTATTTTGTTCCCTAGAGATAGCTCATGCACTTGTGACACTGAGTTCTGGAATGATTATGGGATTGTTTAATATTGAGTTTGTTAAAGACATCAGTATCTATTCAGTAAAACTTATTACTAATTGTTTAATGTACAAAAGGAACGATTTCGAAAATGTTAAAACAAGAAATTTCAAGTAAATTGGTGTTGGCTTGCCTGACAGTGGTGTCTGGCGCCATCACGACCCTAAGTGGATTTTGGGTCATGAAAAAAATAAACTCGAACAAATCGAAATATTGAACTTCGAGGGCATAAGACCTCTTAGGCAACCCTCGAAATTTAAAGGCCACGACCATACCCACTCGGGGACTGTTATATTAGGCGGGCCTGAATAACCCGGGAAAGCAAGCTCACTGGGCTACACCCGAACTAAAAGGCTATGGCCAATTTAACACGGCTCGGAGACATCCGAAACCCGTAACAAAATGGCTTCAAAAAAGACACAAAATAAAGCAAAAATACAAAGGCCTAAGGGCTACTTTTACTTCGAGTTCGAGAAATCATTCTCACTCGACTACAAAGCCCAAGGGCTATCTTAGCCCGAGTTCGAGCAAATTTTCACTCGGGGACTATCTATCGAGCCCAAGGGAAACCTTACTTCGAGTTCGAGCAAGTCCTCACTCGATTACAAAACCCAAGGGCTACCTTATTTTGAGTTCGAGCAAATCCTCACTCGATCATAAAGCCTAAGGGCTACTATTACTTCGAGTTCGAGCAAGTCCTCACTCGACTACAAAGCCCAAGGGCTACCCTATCTCGAGCTCGAGCAAATCCTCACTCAATCATAAAGCCTAAGGGATACTTTTACTTCGAGTTCAAGCAAGTCCTCACTCTACTACGGAGCCCAAGGGCTACCTTAACTCGAGTTCGAGCAAATTCTCACTCAGGGACTATCTATCAAGCCTAAGGGCTACCTTATCTCGAGTTGGAGTAAGTCCTCACTCGATCATAAAGCCTAAGGGCCACTTTTACTTCAAGTTCGAGCAAGTCCTCACTCGACTACAAAGCCCAAAGGCTACCTTAACCTGAGTTCGAACAAATTCTCACTCGGGGACTATCTATCGAGCCCAAGGGCCACCGTAGCTCGA